CTGCGCCGCCATTTGCGCTCGAGGCGCTGCCTGCACGGGTGGCATTGTCGAGCATCTGAGAGGCGGCAGCTACCGCCTCGGCAGCGTTCTGGGGCTTCTTGGCTTGGTGGTGACCAAAGATCTGCTGCTGCATGTTAGAGGGTAACGGAAGACCCTTGGAAAGGTGCTTGAAAGCTCCAATCTGGGCGCGCAGCATAAGGAGTTGATCTTTGTTCAGCGGCATTGAGCCAGCGGTCGCTGATGTAGGGGTCTGGCCGTCGCCTTGAGGAGCTTGGCCGCCAGCAGTCGCAGTCTGGATGGTAGCTGAAGGGCCGCTCGAGGCAGGCGCAGGCGTAGCGACTTTGCCCTCAGTGGGAGCAGCTGGCTTGGTGCCATTAGACATGGCCATGCCGGCGCCGTTCTGTTGTGCGGCTTGGGGGTTCATCTGGCCTTGTTGGCGCTGCATTTGCTGTTGCCGTAGCATCTTCTGCTGTTGCTGGAACTGATTTTGCTTCTGCACCATGGTGAGAAGATTGCGCGCCTTGATGAACTCGGGGTTGGTCTCGGGTACGCCTTGTTGCTTCATCTGGGTGTAGCGCTAAAGACGGTGTTAGTGAGCTTCTCGAGCAAAGGTAACTGCCGAGGGCGCAAGGGAACACGCGGCTAAGTGGCAGTACGTACCTGGAAGACCTGCTGAATCTGCTCGCGCGTAATGTTAGCGGCGAGCGGGCCCTGCCCAGGCATTTCTGGGTTGGCTTGAACCGACGCCATGGTGGTGGTGGTTCAGTATAAATGTTGTGGTGCGCGGTGGATGGCCAAGATGCGAGATGTCGACTCTCGACGCGGTCGCGGGTCGAGGTAGGCAGCAGTCGCGCAATTATGAGGGAAAGACAGTCGCGGGAGGGATGGGGTGCGCGTGCAGCGATTCTATAACATTATCGTGCGGCGTCGTGGTGGTGGCGGCCGTTGTGTTGATGAAGCCGATGAAAGACCTTCGGGGGTGCGCCGTTGGCAGAGTCGCGTTGTGTGGTGAGGCTGAAGGGGGTGCGCGCAATTTCGGTGGGGGAGGTGGCAAAGGCGCGGGCGCGCTCTAAAAGCGTTGGAAACCGCTATACGCGTCGTGGACAGCGTGTTGCGGGGATATTGAGATGCGGGCGCAACTGGGAGTGATATCGGGAGTGGTGTTGAACGTCTGCTGCGGCGGGCTGGGACGTCCTCTAGCCTGGAGCGTTGTTGCGTCGCAATCGAGTTAGCGCCTTGGCAGTCATGTGATAGGCTCAATTGGGGCTGTGGCCAATCAGCGCGTGGTGGGCGTCCTGCTGCGCTGCTTTCACTCCTCCTCGTCCGTCTTCATTCACGTTCACTGAAGCAGTGGTTGTGGGGTAGACAGATAAACAACGCGCTTGACGTGGACTAGTGCCGAATAAGCCACCGCATCGGAGGCGGAGGAACGAGTGGAGTGGGTGCCACGTCCACGACCCCTCTAAACCTGCTACCACAGTCCAGCGAACATCAAACCCCTATCCCGTTCTTACCAGGCCTGTTCCCAGTGTTAATCTCGGTCAGGCATGCTCAAATCATGGACTGAGGTGCCTCATCCTAACCCTATGCCTGCTTAGCGACTCTATCAGCTAAAAAGGCCTTGGTGGTGAGGAATTTGGATTTGCGCTGAACGACGGTGTGAGGCTCCAATCGCTCTATTTAGCCATCCGCAACGATGCTCTATCGCACACACACATATTTCGAAAGGCCAGGCAACTGGAACATCTCCTCCTCAATTTCTAGTGCCTGGAGGATTTTGCTTTTTGATCAGCGCATTCATCTAGTCCAAGCGTAATCATGTTGGTTCCAAGTTCAGACTGGGCAGGGTTCTGCGACCAGGGCAATCTAAAGATGCTACAATCTTGGCAAAGATGTCATTCAGCTACGGACGCATTGCCAACTATGTACATATCGAGCTCACGCCAACTCTACTCTTTTCCAATATTCTCACGACTAGACCTAGTTCCTAAGTGAGTGTAGGTGCAGTCCAGTCAATGTATGTCGCAGCATCGGCACCAGAGGGGCCCTTCTCGATGTTTGCCGTGTTCGAGCTCTGGTTGAGCAGAAATTTGTTGATGAACGCAGTAAGGTCAGTCTGCTGGTTGGATGGGAACGAACAGTGGTTATGGTTGCCAGAGCCAGTGAAGCCCATGTTGTCCGGCACACCCAAAGCCTTGTAGATGAGCCGACCAGCCTTCATGCAGGCAGTAGTAGAAACGGGACCGAGCCAGTCAATCTCGTTCTCAATGACTAGCAGACCACGAGGAGCAACCATACCAGCGAGTTGATGATGGTCGGTAGCGAGAGTGTTCGCCTTCGTGCTGAACGAGTTGAACCTCGTGGAGAACCAAACATTTTCGCCGACGATCTGGCTGGAGGTCTGAATGTTCTTTCCCTTGGCCTTCTCAGAGTCGGAGATGCGCCAGCAGGCGGCACCACCAGAGCCAGACTCCTGGGGCAGACCCAGAGCGATACGGTCAACAAGCGCGGCCGCGACGAAAGCACCTTTTCCGTTGCGAGAACATCCAGTCACACCAACGCGCTTGGGGTCGATGCCAACGCTAGGAGTGGCCTCAAGAGCATCGATGATGCGGTCGACACCCCATGCCCAGGCGGTGAGAGCACCAGCACTATGGCTGGAACCGTACAGGTCGAAGAACTTGCCTTTTCCACGGCTGTTGCCACCCTGTTGCTGAGCGATATCGTCGTTGTTGAAAGTGATTGTCGCGACATTGCTTGGGACTGGGAGACTGGCAGCACCATATGCGATGATGGCAGGGAAAGGGCCAGTTCCGCTGGGCTTCTTGATGGAGACCGAGAAGGAAACCGACTTTCCTCCCTCAGTCGAGGTGATGGAAAGAGAGGAGCCAGAGAAGGTGGCCGTAACGCTTGATGGCTTCTTGGGGAAGTCACCGAGCTCTTGCGCCTGCATGGCAGCGCTGACCTCCTTGTTCTTGCATGCGAAGTCCGCTTTCGTAGTAACAGCCCTTCCGTCGAAGAACTTGAAGGGGTTCGGCAACTTGGAGTTGGCGGTGGAGGGAAAAGTCGTTGGGACAGTGCATGTCGCGTCCTGGCGTTTCTCCGTAGCCGGTGCCGCAAGGACGGTCGTAGCGAGGAGTGGGAGGACGAGTGAGTATTTCATGGTGGGCGATTCGGTGATATCGTAAACCTTATGGACCAACACTAACGATTGCTGGCGGGTTTTCGTCTCTTATATAGTGACGATGACCTCCACAAGCATTCCGTGTTCCCGCGGGGAAATATAGCCACTATATGAATGCAGGAGTATGACAAAGTGAGCTTCGTAGCGTGACTGCTCTGCAATAAAGCCAACACGTCTTGGCGCCTGCTGGTCTCCTTCATGCTCGCCACGCGCTTGAGGAGCAGGGGTTATCATAGCAGAGTGTCATGGCTGCTACATTTGCGAGACCCATTTCTAGCGTAAGTGCTAGAGGCTAGTCCGTAGAGACTCGTGTAGGATGATATACTGCGTTTTTGTATGATGCCATTGATACAGTCTTGCATGAGAATGTTGGATACACAACGTCTCCCATGTAACTCATGCAAGCATCTACGGTACTGCCTTCAGCAAGTAGCACAACCTTTTCCTGCATCGACAGCTCATTGATGGGAAAATTAGTCGTCATCTGTATAGTCGGTGTCATCGATTGGAGTGCGAAAGTTCCCTTGAGCCGCGAGGAGACCGCCTCGCACTATAACACCCATGACCTGCCGTGTCTCCCAAAACGAGAAGTGACCACCTGAACTACGTTCCAATCCGGGTATTGTAGACTCATATGGGCATGGCGCAGTGAAGCGGATGCCATGCCAGGACTTCGAAATGGACCTCGTCACAACGTTAGAGTCGATTGGACGCAAGAAGACGTATGCACTCTAGAAGCCCTGGCTCGACCATTGAATGGAAATTAATACCGCCATCGCGGATTTCTGTGCTTCCCCACGTTGCGGGGTGCAGTGGGGCTCTTTCTGAAGTGCCGTTTAGCCTGTGCGTCGGCCATGCAAGATCACCCGGCAGTGTATGATCGACATTGATTCCACTATGTGTAGACCTCTGATCAGTAATCCGTGGAGACATGTTGTTACTTGTATCTTCAACATCCTGCTCAGAGGTCCCTCTGTGGTCTCAACAAGTAAGAGAACTGCGACCTATGCCTTCAAGTATCAGCGTGGAAGGGCCCTTAGGAGACACAGGATGAGTTGTCGCGTGCAATTCATCGTTATTTGCAGTTCTGGCACTGTGTCAAGGTTCTGCGACACCTGCTGCTGTTGCGTTTGTTCTAGTACTGGAAAAGCCCACGCCCCTACTATCGCAACATGCATGAAACGGCCATGAGTCTCGCATGTCAGGGAGACATCCAAGGTCGCAATCGTTGTTGCTGTTCGCGAGAGGTGAGATCGAAAAGCTACACTGTCTCCAAGCTCTTGTTCTAGCCTAGTAGACTGTATGGCGTTGTCTTGAGGTCGCGTTCAACTATGAGAATCAGCTTCCATATGGATGCGCGGCGTATAGGAACGAGGAACGGTGCCCAGGTTAGGGAGAAAGAGCTCTAGTGATGATGATCAAAGTTGAAAATAGTAATGTGGAAGGAGCCCTGAAGCAGCGGGCAAGACCCGTAGTCGCTCGCGCTTGCCAGAAACCCTGGCGCTAGTGTTCGCGGCTTCGGCACCCCTCCTGCGGCCTCACGGGAGTTTCAGCGGCGTCCACGAAATCTTGAGGAAAGTTATAAAACCGAACAGCGCTGCGCAACAGTATCAGTTGTATGTGTTCGTCATATCCTCGTCATCTTAGATCAAAAGAGAAGGAAGTAAAGGTGAGGTCTGACTGGCTACTTCCAAAGCAAGTGTAGATTTCAAAGCAGTCCACCGCTCATTGGCCAATCGCCTCTACCCTCCCCATAACCGTACATATGAAGAGAGCTCTCCCATCTCCAACGGTCGATACTTTCAAATCGGCCAAAATGACAGGCGAGCGGCAAGCAGCGGATGCTATCCGGTTCTACGACTCGAAATCCTGGGATTACGACGCTACCTGGCACAACGATTTCACCAGGCGGTTCATGTCCTATCTCGATATTCAACCAGGGCAACAAGTTCTGGATCTGGCATGTGGCACCGGGCTGTTGACATTCCGCGAGGCAGAGGCGGTAGGACCACAGGGGCATGTCATTGGAGTTGATGTCACCCCCGGTATGCTCGCGGTCGCTACTCACAGAAAGACCCAAGGAGGGGACAAATACGCAAACACAACTTTCCTTCAAGGCGACGTCCTGCATTTAGAAGAAACGGAAGCACTCAAAGGAAAGCAGTTTGACGTCATCACAGTGGCTTCTGCTCTAGTCTTGTTTCCCGATCCAAAAGCTGCGATTGAGCATTGGGCAGGGTTCCTGAAGCCTGGAGGCGTCATTGCCATGGATGCGACACATCCGAGGAACTTGGTCTCCGGCATGGTACTGGAGAGGGTTGCCCGCAGATTGGAACTTCCCATTCCATACAATCGTTCATGGAGCAAATCCGAAGACACCTTGAAGCAGATGCTGGAGTCTGCGGGCGTGGAGGTAGATCAAGTTGTTACCGTAGAGAGTCAAGCGGGATACGGCAGACGCTTCTATGAGATGGAGCAGTGGGACGACTTCTTCGTCGAAAATGTGATTGTCAAGGACGTTGCGAGAACATTTGCGAACAATGACATTCGAAGGAAAGCGCAAAAGATCTACAAGGAAGAGTGGGAGAAGTTGGCGATAGACGGAAAGATTGAGGAGATTGACTCGGTCTTCCTCGGTATTGCGCGGAGACGTAAGTGACCCAAAGAGCTGAACCAGACGAAACTAACGTGCCATCTAGCTGCGGACGGTTCGAGATATGTGCCGCAAGTTATACAAGATGGCGTTGTCTTCAAAGGTGGATGTCGCTGCGGTGGCGTGCAATACACGTCGAGCGCCGCACCTTCAGACATCACACTGTGCCATTGTCGCGCATGTCAGCAAGTCTCAGGCTCTGGCTTTCTGCCCTTCACACACGTTCCCAAAGACAGCATCTCCTTCACGTATGCGGATACGCGCACAGTCCTAAGACTATCGGCCGTTGCGGAACGTACCTTTTGCTCGGGCTGCGGAGCTCCGATCTCTATGTCATATCCCTCCGATCCCGACGGTCTAGGGTTGTGCATGGCAACGGTCGATCTGGAGACCCTTAAGACGGAAGTGGCACCCAAAGTGGTGAAGCATATATTCCTGCGAGAAAAGGCGCCCTGGGTGGTACTTCCCGAAGATGGAACGGAGCGGTGGGGCACATCAGAAGACGCGCACCTGCTCGCGCAGAGCTAGACAGTTCGAATAAAAGTGTAGCTACAAGAAGATGCGGTGAACTCGTAAGGGTACGCGATTATTCGGTGTGAAGATTTGTGGGGTAAGTGCAGTGGGCGAGTGGGAGTACCTCCACTGATGGGAGACAGATGTGTGATGCCGCAATCACGGGATACCGCGACCAGTGTCTCAGTCGCTGAATATCCTGTTGTTGAGCGAGCGTCTTCAGATAGGCCTTCCCTGCTCATTTCAACGCGTACTGGGCCGTGCGCTAACTGTTGCACGATGAAATGTTTCGAAACGCGAACGCAGACCGAACGGCTTGCAAACAGGGACGAAGCCAGCTTACAGGCTGTCTTGCATTAGAGCATTCTGGCTGGCAAGGTGTCATTGGACTCTGTAAGCGACGGCTACGTGTTGCGGTGTGCGTTGCGTACGTGATGGGGCGAGCTAGCCCTCCCAGCCTCACAAAATCTAGTTCCCTGCCACGCTGTTTCCTGCCAACCACGCGAAACAGCCCTCGAGGACAAAACCTCGCCCTTTGCTCACGAAACATTGAACCCTCTTTTTGCTCTCTGGTACACTATACCGGCAGTGACACATTTTACTGCGTCTCTTACCACTTCTACCACCAAACATTCGTTGACCGCCGCTTTACCTTCCCACGACCCTCGTTCCGCCTTGTTATCGATAGATTGACAGTGTTGGCCGGGTTACCCTCAACACAACCCCGCCTAGCAGCAGCATTGAAACCGTTGCTTTCGCGTTTCATACGTAAACATCCATCTGCTCGACGATCCTTGGGCGACTGACGCATTCCTCGCCCGCTGACCAGCGTGCCTTCTTGCAATCCCGGCACCGGACGTCCTTTAGCGGCTGTAGTTTGGAATGAGCCGCAACGCCCCTCACAACGTGGAGCTCCAACAGCCGCCTCAGGCCCCTTATGCGACGCACCGCTCGAACCACAGTCGAAAGATCTCGAGTCCCGTGGTCGGCGACCAAGTGCACAGCTTCGACGACGTGGACATTACCGGCCTTCAACCACCACCTTCCGCTTTAACACCCACTACTGCAACGGCATATGACCCACATGCACCTTCCCCACTAGAAGACTTCCCTCGATCTGGCCGAACACATCAGCGGACATTGACTGGCACTATCTTCGACAACTTCAATCGCGCAACATCGACAATCCAGCAACATACTTCAAGAGCATCTTCACCTACAAAGTCCTTGGCAAGCTTCATCCCCTCCAGAGGCGCTATCGAGTCCAGCGCTAGCCAGCCTAAGATTAGGGCACTCCAAAACTGGTTCAACGGCTCCTCTGCACCCGTGACGCTGGGTGTCGGACAGCAAGACGAGTACTCGGATTCTGGTTCGGAGTCGGGAGAGGAATACGACTCTGAGTCTGAGGAGGAGGAAGAGCAGAGAGGCAGCAACATGATGACCAACCTCTTCAACCGCGGCTCTTCCCTTACGAGGGGCACATCGCAGAGCCCGAGACGATCAGACGACACCCAGACCCCGAGCAAGGCCCCGAGCCAGCCCACCACTAGCAGCAAGTTCGCGTGGCTGCTGTCCACGCAAAAGAACGCCGCTGTACCCCCTCCGCAGCAGTCTCCCACATACCACAACCCCGACGATGAGCTCCTCAACTTGAGCATCTCGCAGTCGCTCTTCCCACACGGACCTGCCGATCCACTGGCGCCCTCTTCCTTCCACGACCTCCTCACCAACGCCGAAGCGCTGCTCTCTCGCTACCAGACTGCATACCGCCAACTCTCTACCGCGTTGGGAGATGCACATGCCGAACAAAGTGCGCAGGATGACGAGCTTGACGAGGCTGAGACACGAGCAAGGCATTTGAAGATGCAGCTGGAGACAATGGCGGCGAAGGCAGTTGAGCAAGACGAGCAGATGCGAAGCCTCATGGAGGACCTTGCGTTTGAGCGAAAGGCTCGTCAAGAGGAAGAGGCGGCTCGTAAGAGGAGTCTAGCCCTCATCAGAGGCGCACCACAGTGCGACCACGCTTCATGCCAGGAGAACGCCCGCCGCCACAACCGCGTGTCCGGCTCGGAGATCAGCGTCGATTCCGGCTTCGAGTCTGAAGCCGAGACCGATGCCGCAAGCGTCTTCTCAAGAAGCTGCCTCAGCCCCACCGGCACCGACCGCTCCTCCATCCTCGACACCGATACCCACGACATCACACCCAAGGGCCGCAAGCCGCAACCCTTGAAACGTGGAAGCACATACGAGCAGAGGCAAGAGGGCAAAGTCGACATCGCAAAAGGCGGATGGGGATGCGCGAATTGCCAGGGCGGTGCACAATCCGCTGTTTGGGGTCGTCTGGCAAAGGAGCGAGAGGAGAACCGCTCGCTCAGACTGAGGGTCGAGACCCTGGAGGAGGCTGTTGACGGTGCTCTCAATGCCGTCGCTGGCGCTTGGGGCGTGTAAATCCCCGTGTACAAACATACATGACTTTGGAGTATATTGGCGTTTGGTATACCACTGCTTGACGATTGGATGACTATCAGATTGGTTTAGTCTTTGGAAAGATGCAGCGCATCATAGTTTAGTGTAGCATGAACCACGCTTTACCTTTTCGCAATCTCCAAGACATCGATGCAAGAGTGCAATATACATTGAATATGATCCACACATCCAACTAACAAGTAAAACCCCCCCTCAGCACCACTCAAAGCTTCTGCTCCCCACCACAACACCCCTTCTCCTTCTCCACCAGCACACTAGCCTGATTCTTCGTACTCGGCACATCAATCGCCGGATTCCGCTCAAAGAAATCACTCGGCTTGAAATGCACCTGGTAAATCTCCACCGGCATAACAGGCCAATCCTCCACCCGCGGGTTGTGCGTCAGTCCAAACACATTCCACACCACCAAATCCTCATTCTCAACCCCGTCTTTGCGGGCCGCCATATCGTGCACACCCCCCTCCTCCAACTGACTCTGCATCGTAAACCGTCCCGCGGCATACAGCTCGTCGTCCTGGTACTTGGTCACCCAGACATGGTGGTTCGTGAAGAGCGCGCGCTGCGCTTGAATGCTACCCGGTGCGGCGAGTATCTTCTGCGTGGGCAGCGGCGCGAACTTGTAACCAACGGGGTTTCCTGATTTGGGGTTCGTCTTGGACGGGTTTATTATCTTGAAGACGCGGTGGTCGAAGGGATTTGCGTCTACGCCGCCAGATTTGTCGATGACGGTTTTGCGGATCTCGTAGAAGTTGCCGGCGGGGTTTGTGGTTGCGTTGATGGGGGTCGAGTGCGATTCTTCGTATACGACGGTGTTTTTGTGGCCGTCGATTGCGGGGTCGAAACCTGTTGGGGAGTGGGTGGTTAGTTCAAGTGATTCTTGTGTGTTAGGAGAGATTGAGGATGACGTACGAGCTGCGAAGATGTGTTGGTGGTTTTGGGCGAGGACGCCGCCGGAGACTACGTTTCCGTAGTCGGATGTCTTGCCTGGGTCGATGTTTACGACGGAGACGATGCCCGTGGCGCGGACTTCGAGGGTTATGCCGCCGGCGGTGTCGAGCTTGTAGGCGAAGACGTATTCGTAGTTTGCGAGGGTGATGATGAATTGGATAACGAGTTCGCGTAGTCGGGTTACTACTGCACGGCCGGTTCGCCAGTTGGCTGATTGGGGGTTAGTCTGGTATAAGGAGGTATTGTGGGATACATACTGTGCTTCCAGCCAATACCGTTGTCTTGCTCGTGGAGACAGACTACGTTGGGATGGACCTTTGGTTCGCCATCGTTACCAACGACGACGGCGTCGAAGTACTTGATCACACCGAGGCAGTCGCAGCCCAAGGAAAGATTGTTGGCACAGTTGCCAGCGCCTCCGTCACCGAAGTCGAAAGCTTGCTTGCGGTGGAATGGTGGACGAGCATCAGCATATGGGACCGACATCTCTGAGATGCTCATCCGGTACATGATACTCCTACCATCGTACTTGACGTCGTGCAGCACAGCTCCTTCACGGGGGTTGAACGAGACTCTGAAGCTCCACTTCTGCCACTCAACCAGTGACTCGTCTGTGACGCTGAAGGAAGGTCCCTCTGGCTGTGTGATGTTGATGGGCTTCACGTCTTGTCGAAGACCACCTTGCAGTAGTTCAGGAACGTATTCTGCACCCTCGCAGTGGTCCAGAACGCGCTCGGAGTGTGTCTGGCCTGTGAGACTATCGCCCTTGCCACCAGTGGCTAGACGATCAACGCGGATGATCTTCCTGGTTTGTGCATCCATGACAGGAATCAGCGGTAAGGGGTAGGCGTAGAAGTTTGAGTCGGCGTTTCCGTTCCTCATGTCCTGGGCGAAGCATAGGCCTTGGAAGTATCTTCGGTTCTCGGCACCGATATCAAGACCACCGTATGGCCTATGATTGTTAGTAACGTGGTATACTGAAGTCGACATGGATACCTACCAAGGCTCAACGACCAACTCAAACCCATCAGGCAGCTTAATCTCAGCCATAGCTTCCTTGAACATATCACTCTCCTCACACGCTTTAACAAGGTGTTGGAATTCCCACAACGTCAAAGCAGCCTGCTTCTCCTTTCCCACAATCTCGTGCCGTACCCTTTTCCTCTGCTCAACATCAATGACAGACTCGTGGTACTCTGGTATCTTGTCTGAGCCGATGACGTCGTACTGGCACTTTGCCAACCGCGGTGGCCGCTTCGAAGCTGGTGACTGTCCTGGCTTTGCTGCATGTTCGAGCTCAAGGTACTGTTTCATGAGCTCCTTTGCTGGTTCTTGGAGGAAGATCTCTCGAAAGTCGACAACGCAGTCTTTGTGGAGGGAGAGGACGGTGTCACGCGCAACGCGTGTCTCCTCTATATTGAGGATACTGAAGGGATGAGGTGCCATGGTGTAGTGTATGCTTGAAGGAAGGAAGGCGGTATGATATTGTCTTCACCCGGAGCTGGTGTGGCGTAGATGGAGTGGAAGAGAAGTCGTCCACTCTGGAGGGACATGATCCAATTTATCTACAGACGTACACATTCTGCCGAGCCCGTATCTCTAAGCGTAGAAGCGGGGATATGAGATGATAGACGGTGATGATACGTTCGAACACGCGAAGCAGTACCGCCGTCATGCCTCTGGCGGAACGTCGCATGTACCTTCCAAGTTCGGTTAGCGCGAGATATTGATGACCATGTGCTGCACGCTCTGTCGAGCGACACACAGATACAGAAGCGTTATCTATCGAGCCCCTGCTACTCCAGGATATCTACCAGGAAGACAGTGCTATCGTGCTGTTCTTCGCGGAATGTCGCGTGTGAAGAAGTCGAATCCTCCACCGGAATTACCTCCGCTGTGGGTCACATTACTCCAGGACTGGTCTGGCTTGGGCTACCACAGGACGGAACATTGCGCAGCAGCGATAAAGGCACTGGGTCTGGGTATATCGGTGGTCGTGTTATGTAAGTCGACGATCTGGAGCACGCTGGGGAAACGGATACTAAGCTTTGTTCCGCGATGTAGTACGAGATCTATGCACTACCCACCTAGGTAGGTACAACAATAACGCACCGGCTTGGCGCGATAGCAAGACTGGAAAGGGCTCTCCAGCTTCGTTCTTACTCCGTGTACGATTGCCGCGAGGAGTCATGTTGCCGAAATGTTTGCCGTTTCGATTGCTACCTAGGTATGAAGCAATGGAAGTCGCGCGAGATCAGGCAGAATGCGAAGCCATGCAGTTGGGATTCCTTATCCAGTATTGCACAAACAGTGACAGCGTTTGCAAGATACGCCAGCCTTTGATGTGAGGCATGTGTTTGCTAGATGAATCAATGCTCAGTAACAAAGTATTTGCTAGACTTCTCTATCCATTGATTGTCAGTACGTGATTGAGAAGACGAACACACCATCTTCTAGACGCCGTTAGTGGAGACCCATATCGTTGGTGGATCACCCTCGACTCGTGCATCAAGCTATACCGCACCCAGCCTATCGAACCAGAGCCTGTTGCATAGCTCGCAGTTTTCTTTCTATTTTCATCTTAATATGAATTATCAATTTGGTCGTTTCTCCATCAAATCATCCATCTCAATGATTCACGCATCGGTGGTTTAGTGGTAAAATTAGCCGTTGCCATCCTTCACAGGACAGTTTCGGCTAGCCCCGGGTTCGATTCCCGGCCGATGCATTACATGCCTTTCTTTTTGCCATCCTACAAGTAGTATCAACGTCGTGGTGGACGCAGTATGTTTTTGAGCCGGTGGTTGAGGCGTGGCCATAAGCGAGGCTAGCAGCGGAATGCGAAGCGTGGCAGACGAGATGACAAACACTTGAAGTCTGCGAGACTGGAGGAAGTGTTTTTTGCACTTGCATCTTAATCCTACTGCATTCGCCTTTTCATGACATAGAATAAGTCGCTATCTGTTGATTACCACGTACCACACTCCAGACAACTGCATAGACTCGCCCTTGCCTCGCACTCGAATCACCCATGACATCCCATTAAACCACACTCAATCCCTCGCATTCCCCGACATAGTAGCAGCAACCGCCCCTCCAAAGACTGCACCCAACCCAATCCTCCTATTCTCCCTCTGCCCACTAACCCGCCACCGATGACTAGCCTTGGGCACCACCACCCTCTCCGGCTCCGCAAGACCCATCTGCCCTGGCGGCGCATTCCTGAGCTGCCCGTACTGCACTCTCCTATCCCCAACATCCTCAAGCACCTGATCAAAGTCGCCGTGATACGCTTTCATCTTGTCGGGCGCGATGATGGGCGCGCCGAAGGCCTGCGAAATCTCAAGTGGACCTAAAGTGACTTTGCGACCGAGTTGCCAGAAACCCCAGTAGACGGGTAGGACGAGCAGGACGGTGATGAAGGTTGCTGCGAGGGCGCCGTAGACGTAGGCGGAGGAGGTGAGGTATTCTTCTACGATGCCGGTGATTGATGTGGTGATGTTTTGACTGGCCATGCCGAGGGCTTTGCGTTTGTTTACATCAGTCGTAGGCGCACCTTTGATGTATAACGCCGTCACAAAGCTCAGTGTGTTAAGCTTGCGCAGCATCTCAATGGTAGGATCATCCCGACCGGGCTTGTTGATGTTGAACCAGCAGGCGTCCTTCATTACTTCATCGTTGTCTGAGTAAAATGTAGTTTGCGTGGAAGCACCTCGAGCACTGAGATTCCAGACATTGTCATCATAAGTGAGGTTCGCCGAGGACCCATAAAGGTTATTCATGATATAAGTCAGACTCCCGATAGTGGAAGGGTCGTCGATCCTTTCGTCGAGACTGACGGTCTTCAAGACTTTCAGTCCATCAATTTGTCTGATCCCATTGAGATTAGCTCCGATGGGCCGTGGAGCATCGGCGTTGAAGAACTTGATATGTGTGACGATGTTCTTGCCATCAAGTTCTTCTTTGCTTGGTACCATGACAGTAACTGGATACTGAACGACTGCGGGTATGATCTCGCACGTGCGTGTAGTCTTACGACCCGGGCATGAGTTGTCTCCTCCGATTCGGCTATCAACATATAGCATCTCGAGATTGATGCTGGCGTATGATTTCGTTTCGGTTGCCCATTGTGGGTTAAAATTGACATGCCATAGCGGATAGGAACCCGCTTCTTCTAAACTATAGTCAACCTGTTGGTAATCGCTTGTGCAATCGAACGCAAACCCTAGACCTTCGACAGCACCGCTGCATTCCTGGCGATATGGACATTCGAAGAAAGACGCAGTATCGTTAAGACCGTCATGCACCTTCCCATTAGCGAGCTTGCCGTTGTACGCATCCAGAACGCTGGCCCATGAAGCAAGATTCAGTCTGGTCGTGCCATCTTGTGCGGGAAAACCTCCTAGTCTTTTTGGCCAGTCTTTCTCGATCCATGCAGTCATGGTGGAATTGGCGTACTCCTTTTGCTGTGTTACGATAGTCCTCGTCGCTTTCTGAAATAGGGTGCTATCCACGACAGCAAACTTCGTCATAACTGCGGCGAGGGCGACCAGGTTGAAGTATCGACCGGAAGTAACAATTGCGTAGAAGCTGTAAGAATATGCGTGATTCTTATGTAACACGCGGAGAGAGCTGCCGCGCAAGGCTGTTCTCCACCATGCAATAGCCAGTCCGTGGCTTACCAAAGTGATCAGCCCTAGGTTTTGGATCTGGTTCGCAATGTTGAGTAAAACGTTGGGCTGAGCAGGAAAACTGTTCCATCAGTCGCGACCCGATTCAAGGTGTATCTGTCAGACTTACCTCGTAAATGGCCAGTCCTTGACGCGCTTCTTGTGCGATGACACCAAAATGACTACAGCCGTAGCAGTTGCCACGAAGATGACCACGAGTCCCGCAAAGCCGATCCATGGAAACTGATTTTTGAAGCCAGGTCTCCAGTCGATGCCGTCGATATCTGAATTATGGTCGGCATAGTCGGACTTTTCGTTGAACTCCCGCCTCGCTATGTATGGCTCTCTACTCGACTTCTTGACATCGCTGGAATGCGTTCCGCATTCCTCAGAAATGGCGTCAATGTTGAATCTGAAGTCTTCTCTCGGTGAGCCTGGAGCGGTCTTCCAGCTTTCTCGATCAGTACCAGGAGAATTGGGAGCAACAGTTGGGGATTGCCAGGCCGGTCGGATTTCGTTGTCCATGACAGCAGTCTGGCGTGGAATCGAAAGATTCCAGATGGTACAAGGGGGAAGATGTAGTAACAGATGCATCTAGAAAGCAGGGTAAGCAAGTAACAAGCAAACCTCGTGCAACAAAGGAAGCAGCAAACAAGTTCGCATCGCGTGTTACAATCCCGTTATACAGATAGATCAAGGTGGCACAGCATGCGAAGCGAGCTGACCCAATTGCGATGGCTGTAAGCCGAGAAAGGATTTGGTCTCGTTTCTTCCGACATTTCCATGGAGAGTAACCATATCCTGATACTGTAAACGTTTAAAAAACCGATATGCCGTTTGTCGCGTTGAGTTCAAGCGATAAGATTCAAAGTTGTGGTATCTGTACAAGCGGACACAAGCATGGGGATTCCGCGCGTCAGTTGTACCAATAGCGGACATTCCTATTCAGTCCTGCATATGTTCGTCGTCTTGCTCCTGCTCCTCTTTGAGATTATCCTTTCCGTCCTCGTCTTCCGGAGGCATAGAAACAGGGAACGAGAGATGTTTCCAGTCCTCGATCTGTGAAGAGTCAATATGTTAGGCGTAGCAAAAAAAGGATAATGCCTACCTCTTCAGTGATGCTCTTCAGTCTGTCGCGAATACTTTCCACCGCGTAGCTACCCAAAATCAACCGCAACGGAGGATAGCTGCAATGACCCAGTTGCCACACCAACTCTGCGCTCTTCACTGCGCTCACCGGTTGTCTGTCGTTCAGCCACTGTACCATCCGTCGCGCGTGTTGCGCGGGGCTTGTCAGTCCCGAGTAGGGCTCGCTGGGGTTCGGTTTCACGAAGAAATGACCGTAACGTTTCGGCTTCGGCGGACCTGTTCCTGGAACGGGCATCGAAGTATAGCTGGGTGGTAATATGTTGTCATCTGGCTCGTCCAATCGAACATGCCCAGGCTCGACAAGTGTGGCTTTGATGTTGAATATATCGACTTCGTACAACATCGACTCTATGAGCCCTTCCACGGCGTACTTGGTCGCACAGTACGGGCCGAGGCCAGGCACGCCAAGGGCTCCAGCCGTGGATGAGAATATGAGGTACCGACCGGAGTTTTGTGAGCGAAAGTAGGGGAGGGAGAGTTGCAAGATGTGTAGGGTTCCGAGGAAGTTTGTGGTGAATTGATTGCGCAGGTCGTACTCGTCCTGGTCCTCGCATGCTGCTATGACGCCGTAGCCGGTGCTGTTCGCTATGACATCCACCTGGCCCCAGTATTCGATGCTCTTCCTGATGACCTGATCCACTGTCTCGCGTACTCTCACGTCGCATAGTAAGCCCAAGCAGTTTCTGTTCTTCCACTTATCCATCTGTTCAGGTGTGTTCTCTTCGGTCCATCCCACCGCGGTGCATTGGTCGCCGTGCGCTAGTATCGCTCGAACAAGGGATCGTCCCATGTGACCGGTCGCTCCGAAGACCTACAGAAAGATGTTAGCTCGAGATCAAAGCCACATGCTTGATGACCTACTATCCATACTGCTCGCTTGGGCGGATTGTGCTCAGATGGTGGGTCGCAAGTTGCTGGAAGGATGAGATTGGGGTTGTGAGTTGCAGCGCCTGGCGAGAGGCTCTGACTTTGGGTATCGAAATCCATAAGAAGGTTGAAGACGCTACAATGGTATGCGATCTTGAACTGGTCCAGAGGTGGGGAGCTTGGCAACCAATCGGACTTGCAACTGCCGCTATCTCCGTCTGGTTCAGGTGAAGGGGCAACGAAGCCACGTCGCGCACTTGATATGTGTGCGCGAGTAATCCAGGGTATTTCCGTATCGCGTCGGAAGTGAGGCTTGGTGGGACTAGCACTCAAGGCATGATGAACCTCCTCTCGTCGACCAGAAAGCGGAGCCCCTCGATGACCAATTGGCTGGGAAAGGCCTGTTGCCGGTTCATGAAGTTGCTGACGAGAATGAAGAACATGATGAAGATGTCGAGGTGCATAGGCGACGTGAGGAAGAAGTGGTACGCGAGGAACAGGAAGGCCTGGGCGCGGTATCTGCTCTTGATGGATCGGATGACTCTGTTCGCCTTAATGGCAGCGGCGCGGTTGGTGGGGGTCCTAAAGGTGACGACCTTGGAGAGAAGGGGCATCCTAGGTAGAGTCGTGCCTCGTCGCGGTTCTGAGTCTGGGGAGACCTCGGGGCTGCGGAGATGGGCGTGGAGTGATTAGGAGGCTTATCGATATGGCTAGGTCGGCATCCTTCCAAGGTCCCGATGCACAATTACGTCTGTCTGCCTCTGCTCGAAATCACCATCCACACCCAACATGCAATTGTCAACGCGGTAGCAACTCTCCAGTCGCGACTATGGTCAAAGCAGTGCCCACACCCGTGGCGCTGCCCGTCACACAGGGCGGCTCGTCATCGTACAGTTGCCCATCAATTGCAGAGACCCCGCTAACTTACTACAGACTCTCCTTCACACAAGGATTCCTCCTTGGGCAGCTTTCGATTGCGATTTTGATGTTCTGCTTCATAAAGTTCTTCATCTTCGGAGAGCCACCGTCCGCCGACGACCGCGCCTTGCATCTCAACTCGCTCCGCAGAGCTCGAACCTTGGCCCACCAACAGTCGTATAAGCAACTGAGAACGCGCGCAAACTCGACGTCTCTCTCCTTACGGCATAAACCATCGAGAAGTATCATACGAAAAGGCGAGGAGAGCAGGGGAGGCCCAAGCATACAGACTATCCTCGCGAAAACGTATTACAACGTGAAGGGACACCAACCGGAGAGCTTAGACTGGTTCAATGTGCTCATTGCGCAAACAATCGCACAGCTGAGAGCCGATGCACGCCAGGACGATGCAATCCTTACTTCGCTCACCGACATCTTGAACACGGGCAGCAAGCCTGACTGGATTGGCGAGATCAGGGTGACGGAGATAGCATTGGGTGACGAGTTCCCCATCTTCAGCAACTGCCGAGTCATGCCAGCAGAAGATGGATTCTGGTATGGGCCAGGCAATACAGATGAGAAGGAGAGACTGCAAGCGCGCATGGACGTTGATCTGAGCGATGTCATTACCATCGGCGTAGAGACGACACTGAACCTGAACTGGCCCAAACCCATGTCCGCAGTCTTGCCAGTCGCGCTCGCTGTGAGCATTGTCCGATTCTCAGGGACCCTCGCCGTGTCCTTCATACCCTCCTCCTCGCCTCCACCAACCACTGCGCCCATGCCATCGCCAACATCAAACACACACCGAGGTTCCTCGCCGAGCCGTCCAGCATCCTCATCAGGCGCACCACCACACCGACCCACGACATTAGCCTTCACCTTCCTAGACGACTACCGCCTCGACCTCTCCGTGCGTTCCCTAGTCGGTTCGCGATCACGCCTCCAAGACGTACCCAAAATCGCCCAGCTCATCGAATCCCGCGTCCACGCCTGGTTCGACGAACGAGCCGTAGAACCCCGCTTCCAGCAAATCGTGCTCCCCTCACTCTGGCCCCGCAAACACAACACACGAGGCGGAGCCACCGAAGACGCCGACGCAGCCGCCGGCGACAACGAAGAAGATGAGGACGACGAAATCGCCGTCATGGAAGGAAACGGCACAGCTCCCGGCTCAACATCCTTCATCCCCAGCCCCATCGCCGAAAACGCCACCCTAGAAGAGCGCATAGAAGCAGAAGGCCAGAAAATGCGAGAGGCGGAGATCAGAGCTGGGGTTAGGAAACCCAGCGCAACAGACTCTCGTAGCCAGAGTAGGAATACCCGGGAAGACGGCATGCGGTGGCGCGGCGAGCAGAGAGACCGGCCCAAGGGGTCAGGTAGACCAAAACTGCAGAGCCGGACTACGACGGGCATTGCGGGAGCCATACCGGGCGCTTTACCGAGGTGAAGCGTGAAATGGATGTATGTGTATGATGACATGACTGAATGTATATAATACCAGTAGCGGCGGCGGTGTTGTGGAGCGAAAGCATACGTCTTGCTTTCGGCGCATCAGGTCCAAATCTATTTGATTAGGTATGGACCTGATGTGCCTGAAGCAAGACGTATGCCCAGGTACATTGACAGTATTGTGAGCTTCATATCTAGCGAAGCTCACAATACTGTCCATGTACCTGGTTCACGGGACGCATCACAATACAATCGCACAGCTGCTTATAATGACAACACAAGTTGCATCCATTGAACTTCTCCTCTCACACATCCCTCAGTGCACACCGAGTATCTGTATCCCAGCCACCCAGGCTATCATCCCTTTGTGTAGAAGTGCCATTGTCTACCACTCATGAGCAACACCCGATATAACTGTAGACATCCGATGCCCGTACGTATCCTAACACAACGCTAATCCGACAGACAATACCTCCATCCCAGCTCCTTCGGGCCAGGGAGAGAGAGAGAGAGAAAACGCCATGGGTATCTGTCTTTCTCTAGCTATGACAGGGGACAGGACAAGAAAAGAACAACGTGGATAAAATTGAATCGAAGACAACCGCACATGGGATTTGGGAAACGATGTGTAGCATGCATGAGAAAACGGCTTGATTAAGTGCGCAGGCAGATCTATTGCCAGCTGGCGGTCGGAGCGGGAGTAGGACGTTGTGGTGGCGGGGGTGCTTCATAAGAGTTGGTGGGGACATCGACGGAAGTCTGGTGTTTTGGTGCCTCTTCGGGGGCACTGTACGGTGGTGTTGGCGCGGAGAAGAAACCGTCGAGTTTGGGCAGCGCCTCTGGGTTGCCTGTTGGAAGCTGTTGGTTTGCAACGGGGACGACAGGTTGGGAGATCCCGTTCATGGTGGAAGTGGGCTCGGATGTAGGGGCTGAGGTTTCTGGAGCAGGCGCAATCTCGGGCTGTTTGGGCGCGCCTGTGTCGCCTAGTGTCGCAGCAGTAGCATCGTGGTCGACGCCATTTGCCATGGGTGCATCTTGGTCGGGAGCAGTAGAGCCATCAGTTGCGCCTTTCCGGTAACGCAGGGTGACCATGAGGCTGTGTGGTTCCTCCTCTTCATCTGATGAATCCTCCGCCGCATCCTCTTCATCATCGTCGAGCTCCATCTGATCTGGCTCTTCCTCGTCATCATCTCCACCGTCCCAAGATGTCGCATCCTCCTCATCTTCGGAATCTACTGTCCGGTTCAGTGAGCGGCCGTTGGTAGTGCCCCTGTTGGCGGCGCGGGCTGATCGGCCAGGGCCAGACTGTGGTTCCTCCGACACATCAGACCGGACGTAATCGCCAGTTGCAGGCGATGGGTGATCGGTGACTTGTCCACTGAGTAGTGTCTCGCCGTATAAGCCTGTTGCTCGAGACCGGACCTGACGGCCGCTGGCGGTGACAGTAGGACCAGAAGGCGCAGCCGGGGTGTCGCGGCCTGATTGCCGCCCTGACCGACGTACAGATGTATTGTCCGAGTCGAAATCGTCCTCTTCATCAAACGTATATCGTTGGCGCTTGCCACGGGTGCGGCCTTCGTACAGGGAGAAACCGAGTTCTGGGCGCGTGAAAGCGTCTTTGCGCTGGCGGGTGTACTCTCGTCGCTTGCGCTTCTGCATGGTTATTAGCACAAGACGATGTATAGAAGGAACGAGGACATACGTTTTCTGAAGCCTCGAATCGTGGCACAGCGTTGAGCATGCGCTCGCCGAGTGCCTTGGCCTCTTTGTGTCCGTCTACTTCCTCCAGCTTTGTCGCAAGCGCTCTTAGCTCATCGATTGAGCCAGCGACACTGATCCATTGTACGTTCTTGAGCTTGGGATCGCTCTCGCGGTAGATGCGAAAGTGGGTGTCATTCTGCCCTTCGACCAGGTAGTACCGACGCTTGTCACCATCGCGACCCCACGCTTGTACCGACAACGGGATGTTTGTGTCTTGTTTGTCCTTGGTAGTGCGAGACTTGTATGCGGTATTGATCATGACCTTGACTTGCTCGTTCTGGTTGAGGCTCCAGAGGCAGAGGGAGTGGAGGAGGGTGATCTGGGCGACAGTTAGCATCTGGCGAGATCAGGATAGACGGCGACTTACCCGTTCTTCTGCTGTCATCGTGTTGAAGTTGCGACCGCCACTGAGGGGGTTGCCAGTCCATTTGGTGGGCCATTGTGATTTTTGGGTTTGGATGGCCTCTTCGAGGGCGCGACCGTAGTGACCCTTCCTGTAGAACACACAACTTGTCAGCGTGTGCACCATACCATCCGCTCTGCAAGGCCTACGCGACCGGGAATATGGATTTGTGAAGAGTGAAGGGGTCAGACTGACTCGACAGGTTTCTTGCGATTGAGGACCAGCCCGAGCAGGGCGCATAGTAAGCCTTCGACATCGGCAGACGGCGTCTCTTCCGCGACACCCTGTTCGATGTCTTGGGGCCCTACGTGAGGCGAACCGCGAGGAAAGGCTTCGTTGAAGCGCGACCGAAACATTACAATGAACTATAGCCCATGGCATTAGCGGTGTCTGGGTGGAGGATTTATGCGCGATTGCGGTGCAACGCGGCGCGTCACGACGCGACGGACGCGTCCAACACGTACAGCAATGTCTGGATTATCCTCTGGTACGGCCTCATGCGGTGGAGAAGGCGCTCGTTTCCTTGGAGGCGGCGAGGGTGAGCGATGCTTGAAAAAGGTCAAGATTGTGCCATTCTTCTTCTTCTTTTTCTGTGGTACGGCCTTTGCAGCGCTTGCTTCCGAAACCTCGACCTCCATCTCGTCGTCGGTCGGGGGCGCAGAGGACAGCGAAGAATCGGAATCGGCCATGGTTGGTGTTGTTTGGGGGTTGATGTTGGTGGTGGTAGTTGCGGCTGCAGTTGCGGGACGAGGAGAGGAACTACGAACAGAGCACGGTTAGGCAGGCATGAGGTAATGCTACTTTCGCTAGCCCAAAGATCGACTGATTGGGTCCCTGTAATGCAGGACAATGAACACATTCATCAAGGCATCTTTGTTTGACAAAGCAAGCCCCAAAAGGTAGCAATGTCAGAGCAGCGATGGGATCAGGGCAACTTCTGTAGTATGGGAGTTTGATTCGGCTATATACGTGATGTTCGCGAAGTGCTACAGCGATATCTCAATTCGCATATAGTGAGACCACGGCCAAGGGCAGCTATCAAGCGTGCCGTCTCTTCACCACAGCTTCCACCAGAACCTCCTGCTCACAAGTCTGACCGTATGTCTGCATCTCGCCCAACTCGTAATGCTGTTGTTAAGAAAGTCAGCGGCTTATAAGTATCCTACCGTTGTTTCTTGATGTTCTGTTCCGGGCCCAGAAGGGGGTCGAGGGCACTTGTTTAAGACATGATTCGAGACGCGCAATCACAGTTCGGGGTGCAGGTGTACCGGCGATGTTAAGTTGTGTCAGGCTTTCGTTCCTTGAATGCGCTCCACTGCGCAATGGCGGTTTTCATGTTTAGGGCGATTGTGCTGATGTGGCCGGTAGGTCCCTTCGAAAGCGCTGATCGGGCGGGGGAACGCTCGACAAGTGGACATGCCAAAGTCGCGACCAAAGCGCGAGACCTTCCACAGATGCCCTGGTGTTGCTCACAAGCATAGGTCAGCCTCTGCCCATTCGGTCCTCCTCTTGACTTGTATAGGCGTCACAACAGATGTCAAGTAGATGAAAGGACGGCGGCACCGGGTAATATACTCATAAGAACGCCGGGAGTTTCTTCGAGTTCGCAAGCGTTGCGTGTTGGCTGCAGGCGCGCCCATGTGCGTCGCGCTTTTAGTCGCAACTTCGGGCTAGTCCGCCTAGTCGTGAAGTTGCAGCGCATGCCTGTCCACTCCTTGTAGTAAACGTCCTCACGGCACCTTCTCTAGCAATGGAACCATTGCGCGATGATGTAGCGCGATCAGAAATGAAACAAATTCGTTCGTATGATTTGAGACGGACGGGACTTTTGGAATAACGAAACCTAGTTTAGGCAAACAATGCGCCGAAAGAAGCCGATTGCGCGGAATACAAGCGAATGCGAGAGCGCAGTTGGGGTGGTGTTGCCTTGGCTGAGGAGAGACGCGAACTTGAGGTTGAAGTTCCAGCTGGCCGAAGAGACGGCGCTTGTCAAGTCACGTGCACGCGGTTTGTATGGCGGGGCGAGCTGAAAGGTAATCGTCTCGAGGCAAATTAGGACATGTTGTCTCGATTTCCTGTCAGTCTTTGTTGATGTCGTAAGTAATGAATAGAATACGAATGAAGTTTCTTGACACGAACAGACGCTGGAAGCGTGATGAGCGGATGCTCGCAGTGCGATCGTGTGAGATGGCGAGCACATTGACTGCATATGCCAAGGTAGCTTACAGTGTAGAAGGATTGCTTTCCAGCTATATCGCGTTGCTTTCAGAGGCCAGGTGATATATCGCGCTTGCCAAAAAGACCGCTTGACCTGATAAAGGAAGGAGATTGGGTTCGCGTCCTTTATGGCTGCATATTGAAGAGTCTGGACGGCGCACTAGACAGCCAACATGCGCTTCTGTAGGTCTATCGAATCCCCATTGCTGCGCGATAGGAGAGGATCCGAACAGGAGCCTACTGCTGATTCCGGTGATTTGCTCGGTGAAGTCGGGCAGAGAACAGAGAGTAGCTAAGAAAGACGCTTCCTTGGTACGGTGGCGAGGGTGAAACTCAGCATCCATGAGACGGAGCCTGATTGCGCAAACCATGACGGAGGCTGCCAGGAATAGAACGGTGGTCAATGTATGGCAAGACGGGTGAAACGGGGGGCATGCCTACAAAAGGCGATAGTGGAGGGGTTGGCTGTGGTGAGTAGATGGGGCGCCCGGCGGAAGCATTAGGGCGGCAAACCCCGGAATAGCGACATGTCGTCCCGCTGTGTCAGGACTGGCTGGGCCGCGTCTTTGGGCGACGCTGATCGCCGTTGGAGGGCACCTAGACGGTCTGTGGTTTCTGGAATAATGGGTCAGGGTCGCGCCTGCTTAGCCTGCTGCTGTATATTGACACGCGTTGGCTCTCAACTTTTGCCGTAGGACGCCCGCCATTGCGATCTCTCCCTCCCGACTTCTACTATCTCGCGGCATCCATTCCTCTTTTCTTTACTTTTGCACCACTTGGTCTCTGTCGCCGGGTGTTGATCGTCCCGCGCCTGCCTCCCTGGTGGTATCGATAGCTGTTCCCTGCACACGGCCCATATCTTGTTACGCACGCCGCAGCCCCCTCGTCATTCTGCTGCTTGCACGCTTCCCTACGACACTCACGCACACCGCACCGCAACTATGAACATCAACAAGAAATTCGACCGCTTGAAGCAATGGACCAACGAGAAGATGGGCGCAGAGGCCCGCACTGGTCTCTCCGACGAGTTCAAGGCGCTCGAAGTGGAAATGAACCTGCGTCATGAGGGTATGCACGAATCCAGGCCCTGCAGCTGCTCCAGCCTCGCATACTGACACTTTTCCAGGTATGGACAAGATGCACAGCGCAATGGCTGTCTACGTCAAGTCGCTCTCCAAGCGCGCAGAGGGCGCCGACAAGGAGAAGCAGCTTCCAGGTGGCCATCTGGGTTCCTCCATGGTGACCCACGGCGAGGACTTTGAGCCCGACTCGGAGTTTGGCAATTGCCTGTCTAGTGCGTTTTCACGCCAATCGCACCTGTCTGCATACTAACTATCAACAGCACTGGGGCGAGCAAACGAACGTCTGGCGCGAGTACAGGAGACGTATGTCCAAGGCGCTACGTCATCATGGCTCGAGGGTCTTGAACGCTCCTTGATCCAGATGAAGGAGTACCAGGTATGGTACCATCAGAACAATTGCGGGCATGGAAGCTAATGCGTCCCAGTCTACCCGCAAGAAGCTCGAGACACGCCGTCTGGCCTACGACACCTCCCTCGCCAAGATGCAGAAGACGAAGAAGGAAGACTTCCGCATGGAGGAGGAACTGCGTGCCCAAAAGGCCAAATACGAGGAGACCAGCGAAGAGGTCTTCCGGAGGATGCAGGACATCAAGGAGTCCGAAGTCGACATGGTCCAGGACCTGACTGCTTTCCTCGAGGCAGAACTGAGCTACTACGACCGCTGTCGTGAGATTCTGCTGAACGTCAAGCGGGAATGGCCGGCTAGGTGAGGACATTCCGATCAGCATAAGACCTAGCACATTTCTGACATATGACACAGGGACACCAGGGCTATGCCTAGCCGCCCCGCGCGCTCCCGATCCAATACCGCACACGGCTACGCAGAGCGCTTCAACCCAGTCGAAGAAGAGCCTGAGCCTGAGCCCGCTCGCATGACCATTCCCAAGCTTTCGTCCCAGCGCAGCCGCTCCCCTGGCCCAGAGCAGTCGCCCGGTGGCTACTCCCTACGCCCCTCTCTTAGCCGCACTTCGACTTACGAGAACAACAATGGCTACCGAGACGACTCCCCTGCCCGCCGACTGTCCCGCGTCCCCACTGATTCCTCCGTCATATCCTCCGGCCGAACAAATCTCCGTCCAGTCCGCCAAGCTAGCGCCAGCCAACAGAACACGTTTGCCGATGACTACGAGGATTATTATGCGCCATCTAACGGGAACGGATATAGACGTGACCGTGATCGATCGCCACCTAGCCCCGATACCTCGTCATCTGTTGGCAGTGGGCGCGGCGGCGTCATGTCGCGGGCAGCGAGTTGGTCCCAGGCGGGTGAGCAGGCGACCAACGGCGGCAAGAAGGCACCTCCGCCACCACCTCCATCGCGGGCGAAGAAGCCACCGCCACCTCCGCCGCCAATGAAGCGAAGTGCGTTGAGTGAATCTCAAGTAGCACGCTACTAGCCTTTGCGACATTCCTCTTGTCTTTCTCTTTGGCTAACAAGTTTGTCGTAGAGCTCATGTCTTCCACTGTCAGGAACACCAGCTGGTGATGCCAACATTTGACGTATCGACATGCTGTTCACGACTTACTTGGCGGAAAAACAGGTCTGCATTCTCGACTGCAGTGCGGTCAGGCGTATACGGCGTTACATTGGGGGGAACATCAAGCACCAGTGTCGTGGCGTTTTGGAGCTGGGTGGAACTTATCACAGCGTCTACGTGTCGAGCTTCAGACGCAAGTTCAATTGTAGCAACGATGCTAGGTCTCAACCTCAATACATCTCTTAAACAATCAAAGAAGCGAAGTGAATGTGCATGTGTACAGTCGATGAAGATCCCGAGGATGAGATCTTGATACGACCAGAAACGTTCGTGAACTTGAGATGAACTCTTGTCTATTTCGATCGACAGACTGACCAGATATATACTACTCGCATTATTCGAACACGAGCATTTCCCGTAAACACCACACTAGACCCACCAATTAATGCTCGTACTTCTGCTGTTGAGGCGGGAAATTCCAGTTCTCCTAGACGAAAATTAGCACAACTCCCTCACATCTGACCAACCATCACCAAAACCGAAAGAACAACTTACCCACTGCTGCAACCCCCCATTCGGACTCGTAGTCCCAAACTCAGCATGATGCCCCGTATCCACCGGCACAAAAATAGCACCCGTATCCTGACCCGCACCAGCGCTCATACCACCCCAGACATCGTAATCCTCCGCCGACCCAGCACCTGCCCCACCGCCGCCGCCGCCGCCGCCACCATTCAAGCTCCCGAGTATACTATCAAAATCGACATTCAAGCCATCCAGCGTACCAGACGTAGGCGTCCTCTGCAAATGGCCATGCATATTACCCGGCGTCTGCTGCGCGCCAAACGCGGGGCTCGTTACGGAGCCGCCGAAGGAGGGCAGGGGCTGGAGCGTGGGATGTTGCTGGGGAGCGATTTGTTGGCGCTTTTTGTTGAAGCCTTTCATTACGTAGAAGGCTTCTAGGTTCTCTTTCACGGTGAAGAGGAGGTCGGAGCAGCGTTCTCGCACGCCGACGCCGTAGCAGTGTCCGAAGATGTGGTCGATGATGGTGGCCATGCGCTCTTTTCGCGGGAGATCGGGCGTGCGGTAGAGTTCGGTGAGGAGGAGGAGCACGGCGTGGTATTGTTGGTAGGTCGTTGAGTACCAGGCCCATGCTGAGAGCGAGGGCAGTGTGTCTAGTGTTGCGCCGATTTCGAGCGTGGTCAGAGCTGCTGTGAGGAGCACGTCGCGGAGGCGGTTTTCGGATTCTGAGCGTGGTTGCAGGGAGGTTTGCGGGAGGTGCCGGTAGAGAAGCATGGAGTCGCAGCGAGACATTAAGAGAGTTGCTACGAGGCCTGCATATCGTTGGATGGGAACATTGGCATCCAGGTACTGCAAGTATTTGCTTTGAATTTGACGTTTCTTGGCTTCTACGCGGGCGCGTAGATCGTGAAGGGTGATGTGCTTGCGGTCCATCTCGATTCTGCCGCGAAAGATGAGACGGTGGATCTCATTGCACTCGTAGCGTATCAGCGATAAGGTGACGTCTGACCAGCCGGTGGTGGAGGCGGGGTGTTGCTGCCATTTTGCACTGCCAAACTCGAAGACGTCGTCGTCTACATTCAACGGGAGCGCAATGTCGAAATCGTCCGATCGAATGGATGGATGGGGTCCTTGCGCTTCGGCTGTCTTGAAGTCTAAGAAGCAGATTTGGTACCACAAGAGCGATCGAACGTGTCGCTGTAGAGGTGTTAGGCTGTTGGCTGAGCTGTGGCTCATGCGATGTATGCCTATGCACTGCGCTAGGCGAACCAGAGCACCAACTACGACAGACGTTGCTCGAGATATCTGCGCTCGACAAAGGGGTATCTGCGTGCGTTAGTATGTGTAAGTTCTGTAAAGACTGTCAGGAAAAGTACCAGGTAGATAGTCAAAGCTTGCAAAGTCCGTATATTGGACGTCTTCGCCCAATTAGCACGAAGCAATGCCCGCTCCGTAGCTTTTTGTAAGCGCAAGAACAGGTCCTCTTTTGTGATGCCAAACTGTGACTTGGCTTGCAGAGGCGATACAGACGCCGCAGCAGCCATGCACACGGCCAAAATCAAGGCAGTACATGAATTCTGGTTGGGATTCCCAATCTCAAGATTCATCCAGAAGCGGTCAAACATGCGCTTGAACGACGGAAGATGCAACACGTGCGCAAGAGGGCTGACAGCTTCTGTGTATCGCTGTAGTAGTCCCTCTGCTTCCATCTTTGTCGGTAGCTGCGGTGCTTCCACATCCTGGTTTTGATGAAGAGGCAGCGAGCCACCTAGCAGCAGATTCAGCGACGGTGCAAGCGACGGCATCTGTTCTGCGGACAGCAGAGCAGACGACTGTGTCGCTCTCTGGCCCGTGACTGATGACGAGGGGGTGAAGCTCTCAGACAGAAGCTTGCCGAGCTACACAACAATTCAGTCTGCGGTCATGGAAAGGCAACGGAAATGCGGGACAAAAGTTGCGGACAGGGCAGAAAGTACCTCTTCGGCGTATTGGGGGCGGAAAAATCCGGTGACATTCTCACAAATGATCATCCTCCCGATTCGAATGGTGAGATCCGTCGCAATCTGATCTTCATCATCATTCTCGTCCTCGTATACATCGTCCTGCGTCTCTTCGGGCTCTGCGGGCAGTCTCTCCCAGGCATCCGTTTCGGGCTCGACATCCTGCTGGTAGGCTTCCCATTCATAGTCTCGCGGAGGCGTGCCAGGCGTGGTGGTGTCGACGGAGTTCGCATTCTCGTACCCATCATGCACACTGGCACTACTCTGCGTGCGCACGGGGAGGTTCTTGGTCCAGTCCGGGATGGTGACACCAGCGCCACTCTTACTCTGCGCGCGCTCTCTCTGCTCCCTCTCTTTCTTGCGCGCAGCGCTCTCAGGGACGGTGATGAAGACGCACTCGCGCCCGAAGGCTGTGCAGTTCTGGCAAGGGTGCGTCTTGGAGCATCGCGACTTCCGGGTGCGGCATTCAACGCAGCTGTTGATGGGGCGTGGATTTCTCCGGCGGACCACTCGAGACTGCAAGACCTGTCCTTGTTCTGGCATGTCTCGCAATCCTCATTTTCGCGCCATGTGTGGGTGAGGTTGGAAGGTGGCTGAGGTGGTGGAGTGAGCGATCGGATGTCGGCCCGTAAGGGAACCCCGATGACTTTAACACCTGTTGGTGATGATGCACGTGTTCAGCCTTGTCGCATCGTCTTGGCTCTGAGCAGGTTAGCAGACTTTTCGCCGCCTTCGGAGTCATGCAGGTACCGCCCAACAATTGATTGCTGACTGCGACCTATAGGCCGCGCTGCTGTTCAGGGCCGGCTTGAAACGAATGATGTGGGCCTTGGTGGGATGCATCTCGACCCTTAGCGCGGGGCATGCACTGTGCTGCACTCATTGCGGGCTGTGCTGACGAACACTATTGACATGATTGTGGTATTCATGAGGCAACTCTATCAACCCGTGTAATGTGAACCTGCATTGATGCCACTCGACGCCCAACTCCCAAATCGTTACCTCGCTCTCGCAAGACGATATCGACTATCTACCTACTTCTCTCTTCAGGCGAGCCGCAGCTGATGTAGCGGGAGGCTCGGGCCAGGAGTCGACGGCATCTTCTACTTCCTCCAAGAAGGAAGTGCTGTTATGCACAGTGGTGCCGCCGAGCACGACTCGAATACCTGGCGAACTAGCATTGACTTGCGCAACCATCTTAGCTTCCTCGTATGTTGCGCCGCCGACCATGAAGACAATGATGTCCTGCGGCTTGTCCTTTGTCGATCCGCCACCCTCGACGAAGGGGTACAGCTGCTGGCTTAAGCGACCCTTGATCATGTCCTGTAACGTAGCCTCTAAGCGAGGCGAGTGCTGTGTGTAGACGTTCTCAACACCCTTCAAGCCCTTGAGTCGATCTCGGGCACCTCCGAAGAAAGACCCAGGTTGGAACAGGTCCGGCACTCCACCTGCCGCCGTAGTCGCTTGTAGCGAGTCATGGTAGGTCAACAGCTTTGTGATGAGGTTAATGCGATGTCGTGACAGTCCACCCGCAACAGCGAGCAAGTCAAGCAGCATAGCTGTGGAGTTTGACGACGTCTTTGAGTAGCGCAACGCGTAGATGGCAACTAGCCGGAGCTTGTTGTTCGCCGGGACCTTTGGATCTTGGATGATCCTTTGCAGCGATTTGACGTCGTTGGAATGGTTGTCTGTACATGCCAGGCTCTGTTCGAGTTCACTGATGTCCAGTAGACTCTCCTCGCCAACTCGTCTGCTCAGCTCACCGACAAGTGTGACGTGCTTGGTGACGTTGCCGGAAAGCTTGCGGAACTCAGGAAAGTCCTCGATGAAGCGCTTCATATCGGCAATAGAGTCGAGCTTTTGCGATCCCTGCTGCTTTGACGCGAACTGCTCGACATACTCTTTTGCGTTTTGCCCTAAATCGCCGAAGTTGAGATACATGTTCTTCTTGAAGAACGGGTCCTGCTCCTGCGATAACACAATCTCCTTGAGCTCGGGACGTATCTCCGGCACATCGCGTAGGTCCACTCGTCCATTGTGTATTCCGAGCAGCTCGTGAACCATAGCCTGATACGTCCATTGCGTCAACAGCGGTGTCACCGGGTCGTCTCTTCGGTCGACAATCAAAAGTATGGGCGGGGTATCTGTTTTGCGGAAGTCGAACAGTTGCTCTTCCTGTGTCATATGGTACCGGACCTCGGTCGCTAGCTTCTTCACCAGCAGACTGTTCTTCTGGTATCGTATCAAGGGCTTCTTCTTCAGCGACAGAAGTAGTGCCATGACTGCCTCTGTCGACCTTTGTAGCGCATCCTGGTTCCACGCATCCGGGCTTGTGCTCCATATCCGATGGTCAGGAAATCCGAGGTTGAGCGACATGAGGTCGGGGTTTATGACGAGGAAGTCGGCGAAGTATTCTTGAATCGCGCGCACGACTTCGTGGTCGTCTGCTTCGGCGAGGCGCTCCAACGAGGACTTTTTGATTATATTACTGAAGTCTGTCTGCATCAGCACGCGTACGTAGCGCCGTGTTCTTCCAGGCGCGTACAGATGTTGTATTCCCCGTACTTGGGCTCTCGCAGCTCTTCGATGAGGTTCTGGATAGACTCGGGCGACGGTCGCACAAAGCATAGGCAGCGAAGATGGCGCATCTTCTCCCGCTTTGGGTTGTCGAGGCGGCTGCCGACCTGTTAGCCGTGCATTGCATCATGGATCGTGGGGGTGCAGTACTCGGTGAGGTAGACTTCATGGTTGAGAAGGGCGGATTGTGTCGTCGCGGTCGATACGATGGGGACCTAGGCAGTATGAGTAACGTGTGTACAGCCACCTGGGAGAGCAGACAAACCCACAGTCTCGTTGTCGAGGAGGAGGATCTTCATCTTGGCCGCGGAGGTGCCTGTCGCAGCGCTGTCCCCGACCGACACCATCTTGGTGATGTAGCCGGAGACGGCCTGTATGATGTCCATGATCGCGAAGGAATTAGCCGCAATCTACTGCGCGCTTGAGGTCGTGGATTAAGGGAGTCGTTGTCTCACTCGCTCTTCCATGTCGACGCGGTTGTTCGTTGGTCAAGGCAAGCTAGGAACGTGGCTCAAGCGCGCGACCTCAGGAACATGACAGCGCCAAGGCGAATACATCCACGACATTTCGGTCCTTATACATCGACTTCTCAGTTACATTAGATCAAGTACTCTTCGATGATCTGCCACTGCATCTTACTATTCCCCGATGTTGTTGGTCGTGTCATCACCCACAGTGGGCAGACAAGTGGAGTTCCGCCGCGGGGCAGATGCGGGCAGTACCCAGGTACCTGGGCATCGTTCACTCCTATCTCATCGATGACTAGCACGCACATGTAACCACAATACCAGGACATGCACGATACGCAAATCATAAGAGGCGTTGATACCACATGATTGTTGCTTCATTGCTACAGCGCTCTCGCCACGATAGTAACCGAAACCCGGCACGCCTCTCCCTTACGCTGTAGGGTGGTCTGGCATACGACTACTTCATGATACGTCCCTCAGCAGCTTCTTCAGCGTGCTGCCTAATACGGCCCATCGCCTTCGCCTCACCATCGATGATCTCTGGTAGCAGATCGAACACGCTCTTCTGCTTGGGAGTCCAACCGAACAGCTTGTTGGCTCGAATAGCTTTGCAGCGAGAGTTGGTGCCTAACATGTCAGAAAACGTCATATCTGAGAACACAGCATGACTCACCCCAAAGGTAGCTGCCCATTGGCCTCATCTCGTCTGCCTCCTCTTTGCTCACGTTGTCAACCCCTTCATGGTTGATGAGCTTGTTCTTGAATGCGATCTCCCCAATCTTGGTGCCGATGTCACCCCAGCAGAACTCTCCGCTCTCTGCGAAATAGTATCCGTCCTTGTTCCAGGTTGCTTTGCCACCATCAGGCGACAGAGCGGCTGTCACAAGGGCTAGGAATACCTCGCTGAGATCTTGGACATGAACTTGAGTCCACATGTTCTTGCCGTCACCAACGACGAAACCCTTCATGCGCTTCAGTGCGGCCTTGCTCATGTCATACACCTGCACACTCTTTTGGTTATCGGGGCCACGTCCAGGTCCGTAGATACAAGGTGGACAGACAATGGCAGATTGGATGTTGCCTGCTGAAACATCGTTCGATCCGAGGATGATCTTATCGACATTTCGATGGAGTGCTGAATCAGGCAGCGAAGTGACCTCACCGATGTTGTCCCAGTCGTCATAGACCTTCTCTCGCCTCATGCCGTAGGTGTTGGACTCAAAGTCCTCGAAAGACAAGACACCAGTTCCAGAAGTATGGATGAGATAGGTCTTCTTTCCGCTGCGTGTGAGCCCAGCAACCAACGCATTGGCGGAAGCCACGTGGTCGCAGTCGGCGCAATGGAGGACGATGTCTGCATTGGACGCCTCCGTAGTGAGCAACTCGATGTCATCAAGGGTGCCGTACACAAGACGGGTCTTTGGGTACTGTGCTGCAACCTTGGCTCCTTTGTCGCTGTTTCGAACAAGTGCCGTGATCTCTAGATCTGGATAGGTGTTTGCTACTGCGTAGAGGGCATCGCCTCCAATGTAGCCAGTAGCGCCGGTGCTGAATTCAGTTAGCACTCACATATCTAGAAGCAAATACAATTGCATGTCGCCCGTGTTTCATCGATCGGTAGGAGCATGCATCTGAACCTACATGAAGAGCTTCGGCATGATTAGAGTTTCGATGAGATCGTGTTGAGAGGAAATTTGTAGAAGACAAGAACACAGTCGGTGCCGATGCAGATATATGCAGAAGTTGCCAGGCTGCTGTCGCTTTGAAATCGTGTTTGCCTACAGCTCCACCCGGGCATAACTAGCAGGAACGTACGTCACAGATATGTACCGGTAGCGCGAACGTCCAATCGGTGACCACAAGGCAGGCTGCATTGCTTACCTAGCTAGGAAATTTCTATGAGCCTGCGCATCTCACTGCATTTGCAACATTACACACCCTCTTTCATGCTTCCTAATCATAATGATTGCGACGGTGGACATGGACAGTCCTGTGGTCTTGATCCACATGTCTGGTGAGACGCCCCGCAGTGGTGCACCTTCCCCTACTCCGGAGTAGAGCTTATCCGCTACAAGCACTCGGAGCTTCATGTTCGATGAGATGGTGCAGACAGACTGGACATACCAGAAGTGCACGACAGGGCGTGAGCTTGGTTAATGGATGCAGCTCCGAGGAGCTCATACCACAGCTCCTCACAATTGAGCCTCGGTAAAGTAGAGTCAACTTACGTCATCCACCTAACACTACCAACACCTATACTACTCCTTGTCCGCCGTCTGAGCATCATATTCGCGAAACAGGTAAACATCTGATCTCGTCAATTCTTCTCCAAGATGCCGCTCTGCACGCTCCATCTCGTCGCCCTTCACAGCACCACCCCCAACCCCATCTTAACCTTCCTGTCCACCTTAAAGTCCGCCAACATCTCCCCACTCGTCATCTCACGCGTAATCCGCTGGATAATCCTCCCCTCAAAGCTCTCAACCGAACACCTCC